ACATGCCACACAACCAGGGGAATGCATTCCTGGCTGTCAGAGAGTTTCTGCGACCACATCGCCCCTTATATATGGCCACATAACTCCCCAGAATGCAGCCCCATTATTATGTGTGGGACACAGTCAAGAGAGAGAGAGCAACAAAACCTCTTGTAACACAAAAGATGAACTGAAGGCAAGGATTATGGCAGCATCACTTACTTAAAGGAGTAAACCATACAGCAGAAGACTTCCAAGCAATTTCAAAATTGTCTGGAAGGCGTGGTTGAATCTAAAGGAGATTTTATTAAAAAAAATTACTCTTTATTGTTTTTCTGTAATTTTAATGAATATATATGTCGTAATTTGATGACAATGTTACTTTCACTTTTGTGCCTAATTTAGACGACTATTTATCCATCACTCACTATATATATATATATATATATATATATATATATATATATATATATATTATGTATGTATTTCAATAAAAACATGTAAGAATCGCTTTACGATTGCAGCCATATTTCGACGCATAACGATGCGTACCCGAGAGTCCTTTATAAATTGCTGAGAAGTGAACGATTAATTGATAAAAAATATATGGCTTTTATATTTTTTTTCAAATAATGAGGATGAATTTTGATTTTGAAACCAAATTAATCGTTCACTCCCCAGTAATTTACAATCGCTTGAGGAAACACATAGTATGCGTTGAAATATGACGGCAATTGTGTAGCGATTCTTAAATGCTTTTGATGTAATATACTAAAATAAATAATATTACTCTACTATGTATTGAGCCCTCTTTTAAATCAAATGTCATGAACTTTGGAAGTGTACTGTATTCGTCCTCATTTTACCTGACCTGGACATATATATATATATATATATATATATATATATATATATATATATTACAATAAACGTAATCAATTTACAAATATGAATTATTCACATAAAACTAATGCAAAAGGTTAATGATTTTAAATGGCATGACATCCATTCACAAAAATTCAAATAATGCACAAAAACCTTAGATCCGTTATGAATGAATTTCCTTGTTCATAAAATTTCTGCCGTATTAGTTGTTATTTTACCATCTTTCGTCTGTTCAAACATCTTCAAATAATAGATGTTGTTCTTGTTTTTTCTCTTAGTAATAAGAGGACATCGAAAATATAGTATTGTATCCGTGCTAACGCGCCAATGCAATGAGTTTGATTTTTGAATTTCTTTTTAAATGTTTGCGTTTATATTGGATTTTTTTACTGCCGCAATTAGTTCGGTTATTTTGACAATAAACGTGTAATCTTTACATGAATTATTCACACAAAACTAATGCAAAAGGTTAAAAAACATTTAAAAAGAAATTTAAAATCAAACTCAGTTGCATTGGCGCGTTTTTAATATCTCATTTTCATAGCTTCAAATATATATTTAATAGATCTATTATAAATTGTTTACGTTTTAAAAATTTCTAATAGTAATAAGAACAAGACATCGAAAATCTATTTTTCAATACTATTTGAATTGTATCCGAAATGCTATTGAAAAAAATTTCCGGAACCTTTGCATTAGTTATTGGTTTTGAAAATTGCGCCAATGCAACGATCCAGTTTTTCTTTTTTTAATAAGCGACATTACTTTCTTTTTTAAATAGTTCATGCCACTTTGACACCAAAATATGGTAAAATAATTTGAACAAATTATTTTAAAAAGAAATTCAAAAATGGTCAGCGTTGCATTGGCGCGTTCAAAACCAATATCTCATTTTCAATAGCATTTCGGATACAATACACATATATTTTCGATGTCCTCTTATTACTAAGAGAAAAAACAAGAACAACATCTATTATATTGTATGAACAGACGAAAGCTAATTAACAACTAATACGGCGAAATTTATATGAACAAGGATCAATTCATTCATAACGGATCTAAGGTTTTTGTGTACTATTTGAATTGTTTTTGAGATGGATGTTAATTTAAAATCATTAACCTTTTGCATTAAATAATTCATGTATTTGTAAATTGATTGCACGTTTATTGTAATTTAATTTACAAATCCATGAAATTATTGAACAATATAGTTCATGCCACTTTGACAAAAATTTACCAGTAAAATAATTTGTTCATTACCATATTTGGTATAAAAAACATTTAAAAAAAAGAAATTCAAAAATCAAACTCAGCGTTGCATTGGCGCGTTCAAAACCAATATCTCATTTTCAATAGCATTTCGGATACAATACACATATATTTTCGATGTCCTCTTATTACTAAGAGAAAAAAACAAGAACAACATCTATTATATACCTGAAGATGTCTGTATGAACAGACGAAAGCTTGTGTAAAATAACAACTAATACGGCAGAAATTTATATGAACAAGGATCAATTCATTCATAACGGATCTAAGGTTTTTTGTGTACTATTTGAATTGTTTGCGAGATGGATGTCTCGCCATTTAAAATCATTAACCTTTTGCATTAGTTTTGTGTGAATAATTCATGTATTTGTAAATTGATTGCACGTTTATTGTAATTTAAATAACCGATCCATGTGCGTCTTTTGGTTAATAAGTGCGACATTACTGTAATTATTGAACAATATAGTTCATGCCACTTTGACAGTAAAATTTACCAGTAAAATAATTTGTTCATTACCATATTTGGTATAAACGCAAACATTTAAAAAAAGAAATTCAAAACTCAGCGTTTGTTGGCGCGTTAAAACCAATATATTTTCAATAGCATAAAATACACATATATTTTCGATGTCCTCTTAAAAGAGAAAAAACAAGAACATTTAAAAACCTGAAGATGTCTGTATGAACAGACGAAAGCTTGTGTAAAATAACAACTAATACGGCAGAAATTTATATGAACAAAATCAATTCATTCAAACGGATCTAGGTTTTTGTTATTTGAATTGTTTGCGCGATGGATGTCTCGCCTTTTAAAATCAATATTTCATTTTTTTGTGAATAATTCATTTTTGAAATTGATTGCAATAACACATATTTTACTGTAATTATTGAACAATATAGATGTCCACTTTTACAGTAAAATTTACCAAAAATAATTTGATTACCATATTTGGTAAAAACGCAAACATTTAAAAAGAAAACAAAAATCAAACTCATTATTGGCGCGTTCAAAACCAATATCTCAAGATTTCGGATACAATGTCTATTAACAGATGTCTGTATGAATAGACGAAAGCTTGTGTAAAATAACAACTAATACGGCAGAAATTTATATGAACAAAGATCAATTCATTCATAACGGATCTAAGGTTTTTTGTACTATTTGAATTGTTTGCGAGATGGATGTCTCGCCATTTAAAATCATTAACCTTTTGCATTAGTTTTGTGTGAATAATTCATGTATTTGTAAATTGATTGCACGTTTATTGTAATTTAAATAACCGATCCATGTGCGTCTTTTGGTTAATAAGTGCGACATTACTGTAATTATTGAACAATATAGTTCATGCCACTTTGACAGTTTACCAGTAAAATAATTTGTTCATTACCATATTTGGTATAAACGCAAACATTTAAAAAAGAAATTCAAAAATCAAACTCAGCGTTGCATTGGCGCGTTCAAAACCAATATCTCATTTTCAATAGCATTTCGGATACAATACACATATATTTTCGATGTCCTCTTATTACTAAGAGAAAAAAAAGAACAACATCTATTATATACCTGAAGATGTCTGTATGAACAGACGAAAGCTTGTGTAAAATAACAACTAATACGGCAGAAATTTATATGAACAAGGATCAATTCATTCATAACGGATCTAAGGTTTTTGTGTACTATTTGAATTGTTTGCGAGATGGATGTCTCGCCATTTAAAATCATTAACCTTTGCATTAGTTTTGTGTGAATAATTCATGTATTTGTAAATTGATTGCACGTTTATTGTAATTTAAATAACCGATCCATGTGCGTCTTTTGGTTAATAAGTGCGACATTACTGTAATTATTGAACAATATAGTTCATGCCACTTTGACAGTAAAATTTACCAGTAAAATAATTTGTTCATTACCATATTTGGTATAAACGCAAATATTTAAAAAAGAAATTCAAAAAATCAAACTCAATTGGCGCGTTCAAAAACCAATATCTCATTTTCAATAGCATTTCGGATTTTCGATGTCCTCTTATTACTAAGAGAAAAAAAACAAGAACAACATCTATTATATACCTGAAGATGTCTGTATGAAGAGACGAAAGCTTGTGTAAAATAACAACTAATACGGCAGAAATTTATATGAACAAGGATCAATTCATTCATAACGGATCTAAGGTTTTTGTGTACTATTTGAATTGTTTGCGAGATGGATGTCTCGCCATTTAAAAAATCATTAACCTTTTGCATTAGTTTTGTGTGAATAATTCATGTATATATATATATATATATATATATATATATATATGTGTGTGTGTGTGTGTGTGTGTGTATATATATATATATATATATATATATATATATATATATATATATATATATATATATATGCATCTTTCATTAAAAATGGCCGACAAGCAAATTTTAATTATCGATTCATCAATTTCAAACTAATTAGTAGATGATACGGGATGTTAAAAGTGTTCTAAATATAGTAGTCTTGCCTCCGTCAAGTGGCCGCGCATAATACTTGAGCGCCCCACTTGAAGCACACAGACTGATCGAACTCCACACTGTAAAATTACTATGTAGCAGCCACACAGAATTTCACCATCCAGAAACACATCCTTGCTAATGGCCAGAGAAGTAGCCGAAAGCGCTTGGAACAATTATATCTATAGACAATTCCTATATTCTTTAACACGTGAAAAGTGAATAGAATGTTAGATTAATGGAAAAATTCTATAAAGATGCATAAAAGAAAGGTTGTTGCCAAATACACACACACTTACACAACACACACACACACACATACATATATATATATATATATATAGAGATAGAGAGAGAGAGAGAGTGAGAGAGAGAGCGACATAGATAGATAGATAGATAGATAGATAGATAGATAGATAGATAGATAGATAGATAAACGAGCTTGTGCGTATTATTTTGTGTGTGAATAATTTCAATTGAGGGTATGTAATATTTTGTGATGTTATGAGGTTCGTTTCTATCATTTCAGCCTAAATGATTTATATTAATTTTGGGGGCTGATTTTTCATTATCAAGTGTTCGTTCTTTGGCCTTCCGCATATGTGTAGCCATCTGCTATTCCTGGTGGGATTGTTCCTTCAGTGCATTTCTTTTACAGACTTCCATATGCAAAGAAATATATACTTTACAATATGCCAAATATCATCTAAGATTATCGATATATCCCGTAGATTACGAAGGCTCTACCTGACCTTAACGCAGTTGGTGTGTTTCCCTACAATGACCTGCAGATGGAAATTTTAATGGCTATCATTTCCTGCAGCCTTAACTGCCAAGGCGTTTAACATATTTTGTTTTATTTTTCTCTTTGCAGCTCGAGAGATTTTGTCAGATTGCACAGAATTTCGATTACATTTCCATCGTTTCGTCTACTTATTTTGTATATTGGGTTGAAGAAAATTTGTAAAACATAAGTAAACATATAAATATGTATGTAGATATAAAGACAGAATTGAAGTGAGAGAAGGATAGAAATACATGTAACCTTTGTGGAATCCATTATTAATATGCGTCTCACTGTATATATTGTGTCATATTTCCAAATTTAACAAATTTACTGCTATCTATCTATCTATCTATCTATCTATCTATCTATCTATCTATAGGGACAGTGTGGATAGAGGTATTTGTACTGCGTGATGACTTCCAATTTCACGCGTCAGTGGCTTCAGTGCCATCAATATATATATATATATATATATATATATATATATATATATATATATATATATATATATATATATATATATATGTGTGTGTGTGTGCGCGTCGAAGTTGTTGTTTGAGTATGTAGGTATACACATATTTATCTGCAATTACATTTGGATTTTTTAATTTACATATATATTGATTGATTTAAGGTTTGTACGCTTGTATCAGATCATTTTCAAAATTTCTTTTTCCGAACAAGAAAACCATCTATAGGAACGTCTGGTGTTTGGTCATCTGTTCAGGATTTTCAATGTAGAGTAAAGAACGAGAATATTTTAGTACCCTTATATATGGGGGATGCTATATATATATATATATATATATATATATATATATATATATATATATATGTGTGTGTGTGTGTGTGTGTGTGTGTGTGTGTGTGTGACTAATTCTACATACAAAAACTCGCACCACATATATGTATATAGGTAGTCAGAATGAGAGAGAGGGGGGAGAGAGGGAGATTGATGTAGAAGCTGTTATTAAGCTCTCTCCGCAAAGAGGATCACGTTGAAATTTATATATATATATATATATATATATATATATATATATATATATAGACTGATATTTATATGCGCGTGTAAATGTACAGGTTCTTATGTGTAAGTAAACGCGGTGATGGTGGGAGGGGGGAATCGTTTCCTTTTTCGCGATTTGGCTTGCCTGATTGAATAATTGATTTTATTTGCCATTTGTCGAATTGCTTTTCTCTTCTGCCTTAGGACGGCACTTGTCAATGTCAATTTCTCTAACTGAACATGCCGCAATATGGGTAATGGCCATTACCAGGTAATTCTACTTTCTTCCCACTCTCCAGCCGGCTTTATTCTCTTTTCTTTTTCTTCTTTTTCCTTCTCTTTCCCTTTCTTACTTTCTTTCCAGACATTGTTCTTTTTTTCTCTCCTTACTCCTCATCATTTGACTTCCCTTCTTCTTTTTTATTATCTTTACCCACTTCTCTCTTTTTCCTTTTACTTCAACCTTGCCCAAAATGTTCATCTCATACCCTTTTCTTCCTCTCTGTTTTTTCCTCCTACAAAGTTTCTTCTTCTTCTTCTTCTTCTTCTTCTTCTTCTTCTTCTTCTTCTTCTTCTTCTTCTTCTTCTTCCAATTTTATCATTCGTTTTACTTTGACTACGCGTTTTCTTTGCTTTTTTTCATTTCGGTTTATTCTTTAACCCTTCTAAATTCTCCTTTTCTCTTATTGTTTTCCTCTTTTCATTCGTTCATGGCATCCTTTTTTTTTCCTGTTTCTTCATTTCTATCTCATTACAAATATGGGATAATTCCTATATGATATCAGGAACGGTCTTTTAAGCCATTAGAAAACAACTTTCTTCTTCATATTTTCGTTTCTTCTAATAGTTCGATTCTTTTATTGAACTTATTTTCCATATTTTTCTTTCTATTGTTTATTTCATGTGTCGTTATTTGATAAAGCGCCCCTACCCACCCAAATACATCAACTGAGTAAAAGGCGCTATAATAATAATAATAATAATAATAATAATAATAATAATAATATATGTAGTGATTGTCGTCATGGAATACTTCACATATAGCAGTGCTGATGAGACGGCAATGCCATTTTCAGTGAAAAGATAATCGTTTTAACACTACCTTCACAAAAATGAAGAAATCCCAAAAGATGTAAAATGTTCTTTATATTGTTTTTATTATTTACATCTATGTCTTTAAACTATAGACTACTACTAATATTACTGAAAAGATATATCCAGAAAATAAAATGAAATTTTAAACTTGCGCGCATCCATCTTTAAATAATGATGAATATCATGTGTAAGAATAACAGACAAATATTGTCAAAAGTGTTGAATCGAAATATTTACCGATAATAAAGTTACTTAAAGTAAAGCAGATAATTTGGAGGTAATAATAATCTCTGATGTAAATATTATCACATATGATAATGAATATAAAGATTAGTGGACGAATAGAAATGTAATAAATGGTAGATTTTCAGTTAAAATGAAAGGAAGAATAAAAAAGAGAAACGATACATCTATCAAAAAAGAACAGATGAAAGAAAGAGAAATGTAAAAAAAGACGAAAAAATTGGATGAAGATTTAAAAAATGAATATGGTCCAAGGTTAATAAGTATTTCCATCACGAATATAATAATTATTGGTTGTTTCCTTAGAAACTTTATTATTTTAGGGATTGTGATTTTGCAATTATTTCTATCTCCGTGTATTTCATATCATGTTTTGTAAATTTCGCAACGGTTAAGAAATGTGTTTGCATTTTTGTATGCTTTTATTGAGTATTCAAGCATGATTATATCGTATTAGTTTTATTTAATTTGTATTAAAACTTTGTATAAAATGTACTACTCTATGAAAATATAAATTTAACTGTTTCATTTGTTTGTTATTTTATCTCTTAGATAAAAACAGAATGACTGATAAGTGTCAGACGAAACAAAAAATGGAAAACCGTTGCCATATCTGTGATGAAGGTGCTAATTTTCTCTCTAGCTTTGATAGAGTTCTACAGACTTTACGCGACCTTGGAATCGTTGAATTATTTTCCCGTCTAAAAGCACTTATCCATAGACACAATATCGGAAGCCTATCGCGACGCTATTGCCATTTGCGCGGCACATGTTCCTTTATTTCCACCAGTGAATACCTTTACAGTTTTAACCCGCAATGCCACAACTACAGTGTCGAATCATCCTCGTTTCCCTTCGTATTCTATAGGTAAAAAGGAAGCTCCATACGGACAGGTTCTTTCCAAGAGCCGCGGCTTTGTGAAACCGATTCTGAGAAAATGCTTCCGCTATAAATACAAAATTAATTTCTTCAAATCTAGGTTCAACTGTTATCTATCCTGCAGATTTCTCATAATCTAAAATTCTTTTGTCCATAAAACAAGCTCATTCAGTAACACGTTATCTTGTGTGGTTTTTTGGCCTTGTAGTATGTGATCGAGAAACAGCCTATAAATATCTGAAAAAATATAAACAGGAACTACCATTGTTCCTGGTATCGTTCATTTTCTTTGTGAATTTCAAACCTAGTTCTACATGTTTTCGGATATACAAATACGTGGAATCACCTGGAGGTAGTACATCCTATTTAAATGAGTATTTCCAAAAACATCTGCAGGGAGTCAAATTTGGATAAACAAGTTTCTGGCTTTAAAATAAGTTTTGTTAAAATAATCACAAAAATTTCGACAGCGATGAATGCGCTCGTAAATAAGGCTTGTCTAACCCATCGCTGTTTCGACTGCTGAAATGGATCAAAGAAAGCATAACTGTGTTTACATCGTTGATGTCCTCTTTGCTATCGTACATTAAGTGTCATAAATATCAAGGATTGCAGTCTTTTTTTCCGTTTCGTATGCCAATATATTAAAAAGTGTAGGCTTTACTTTCTCGGCCAAACTTATATCTGGCTCTGTTGTAAGTTTTTTTTTATTGAAGAAGAGAGAATTGAAGAAATAGCGTAAGCCAGCCTGACAGAAAAAATGTAGAACGTTATTGGAATCTTTTCCTCTGTAATTAAATCAAATATAAATATTTAGGCAATATATATTGTGCGATATTTGTGTACTTACATCGACTAAACAAGTGGTGGAGATTTTGGGATCAAAGAGTAAGATATTCGAAATCAATGTGAATAGTACTTGTTTGAAAACGGCCATAGGAAGAAAAAAGAACATCAACTTCCTCTCAAAGAGCACAAGGAATATACATGTTAGAAGAATGGAAGGTTAACTATGAAATACATAACTGAACCAAAACTGACAAGTGAAAAGAGAAAACCAAAACCCAACTAATGGATCTGTATGTTTGTTTCAATCGACACATCCTTTTTACTTATACAATGTTGAAAAATGTTATTTGAGGTCATAAAATGACTCCACGTTAATTATAGCCGAGGACATTATTCTGTGAATTAATTGTATTAAGATTAAACTAAGTATGATACTACAAAAATAGAAATAAAAAATTGTTTAAAGAGTAAAAATTTCGAGAAATATATGTGACATCATGAAATTGGCAGTGACAAATAAAACCGCCATTATTCAAACGCAAAGTACATTCTAGCAATCCTTTCAATAATAATAATAATAATAATAATAATAATAATATGAAGAAGAAGAAGAAGAAGAAGAAGAAGAAGAAGAAGAATAGGAAGAAAAAGAATTAAAAGTGGCTGAGGGTATCGTAAGCATCTGAGCCACAGGATACACCTCTATGGTTGATCTTCAGGG